GGGAAACTTGTTCCAGGACTATGTTTTTGTAACTTTTGAATGCAGTGCGGGCGCGGTCGCAAGAAACCATCGCGAGAAACCCAACCCTGAATACCCGCACGCGAGGTAAAGCCGAGGGGAAACCAGGAGTACCCTGAACGCAGCAGCTTCGTAACGGCCGAGGGAAGTCACCGCGCAGCGCGCGGATCGGAGAAGCCCAGGGTACCCTGGCGAATAGCACTTGGTTTCTTGATGCGCGCCTCCGCTGTATTGGTTTCTCGATGCACTTGGTTTCTTGATGATGCCTACCACTTGGTTTCTTGATGCCTAGCACCTGGTTTCTTGGTGCACTTGGTTTCCCATAGAGGGGCGAGCCCGACTTGAGTCTGGGCTCGACCCGCTACGCCACCGAGGGCACCCCTGGAGTACGTACAGGCAGAGCCCCAGCGAGCCACCAAGGGGCCCGCCGCGGGCCCAGGCCTTGTCGCCCACCACGAGCGCGCACCCGTGGGGACACCAACAGGTATCGATGCCGCCACCTACTCCTAGGTTTGTCGATTCCACGACAATGGACACCCTAACAGTCCTATCATTGAATTTTGAATGTGTTTGAAATGTCGGAAAAATGTCCTGGAAATGTTTCAAACATTTTTTACATGTTTAAAACATGCTTGCAGCATCCTTTATAGACATCTGGAAATAATGTGGCAGCATGCCTCCTCTCCATTGATCGTCGTCCACAATCCTAGGTCGGGCGTGTCCCCCTACAGGCAGATTTGGAGCGATTCGGGTATACCATTTTCAACATTCAAGAAAAACAAAGCACACTCCAAACTAGTACAACAGAGCTTCTTAAAACACCGAATCTACTCCACTTTTGAAATATAAAAAACTACTCCAAAATATTAAAAAAATATCGGGAAATCGTCCCCAGGCTATGTTTGGACGATTTGGAAATGCTCCCCCTGTAGAGGGACGCGCCCGCCTGGCAACTGCTCCCCGGGCCCCTCCCGAGGTGCGCCCTGACCCACATGTCGACGCGCCTCCCGGCGGGGGCGACGAGGCCCTCCCACGAGGCCCACCGAGGGGAAGCCGAGGGCAGGGCCGCGGCATCGGCGGGCGGCCTTCGGGCCGGAGCTCGGCGGCCCGGCGGCCGCTTGGGGGGCGAGGCGGGCGCCCCTCCGGGGAGAGCGCTCTCGGCGAGAGGCGCGGCCGCTGGAAAGCGCCCCGCTTGCCGTCGCTCGTACGCCCAGATCCCGTGCATTCTTCGGTTTCGCGCGTGTTTCTCTTTTGCTCGATGCTCCTGGAGGCTGCTCGATGGTTCTCGCCGAGAAAAAATGCACAGGTCCGAGCGATACCAAGCCCGAGGCTGGAAGCCCACCGAGCACCGGCGAGCACGTCCGCCATCCGCAGCCCTCGAGAACCCTCGAGACCTCGGGACCTCGACGGCCCTCCTCTTTCGACGAGCGCGTTCCGCTACTCGCAGAGGAACTACTCGCAAATGTCCTGGATCCCCCGCGGGGGATCTGCGATAAATTGCATCGAAGCAGACAAGAGCTTTCGGACGTTTGCGAGTAGGCACTCTGCGAGTAGTGGAACGCGCTCGGCGACTCTTGGCCGACCGGATCACCGACTCCCCCTCCGATCACCGCTCTTGCCCGCAAGTGCGGGGGGAGGGGCTACGTGCCACGTGCCGTCGAGCGCACTTTTTGTCATGCCCGGCCATCGCGGGCGTCATGGGGGAGGAGGGGTGGGTGGGCGGGACGGGGCGCAGCGTAGCGCCCCCCGCGCCCCCCTCAGGCTGCGGTGCCAGACGCACCGCGGCAGTGCTGGGGGGACGCACTGAGGGCGGGAGCTGCGGCAGTGCTGGGGACGCACTGAGGGGGGTAGCGTTACCAGAAAAGAAAAAACGCTATAAACATACGCTCCGCGCGGATTTCTTGGAGCTGCGCCGGACCCCCCTCACTGGCGCGCGCGCCGGGCGCCAGGGGCGGCGCTGGAGGCGCCGCCAGGGGGGCCCAGCGCGGATCCAAGAACCCCGCGCGGAGCGCCACCAGTATATGTTTATAGCGCTTTTTCTTCTTCGAGGTACGCTATGGGGGGGGAGGAGGAGGTAGGGGGGAGGCTAGGGTTAAGTCGGGCCTGTCCCTCTACAGGAAGAATATGCAAAAGCAGTCAAAAAATAGTCTGGGGACGATGTTTTGACCATTCTTTGACTAATTTGCTTTCTTTCCGCCAAAGACCGCCTGTATGGGGGACATGCCCGACCTAAGGCTAGGGGGCATAGCGCGCGTTATGACCCAGAGGGTAACAAAAAACGCTATAAACATACGTTCCGCGCGGAACGCCACAAATCTCTGTTTATAGCGTTTTTTCTTCTTCGTGGTACGCTATGGGGGGGAGGAGGGAGGGATGGGGGAGGCTAGGGAATATTCACAAACAGTCAAAAAATAGTCGGGGGGCGATGTTTTGAACATGTTTTGTCAATTTCCAGTTTTTTCATCGAAAAGCCGCCTGTAGGGGGACATGCCCGACCTAAGGCTAGGGTTGTGGATGACATGACAAAGGACACTCTAACAATCTTATCACTGAATTAAAGATGCGTGTACAATGTGTAAAGCATGTTCTAAAAATGTGTCAAACCTGTCTTTACATTCATATATATATATATATATATATATATATATATTATATATATATATATAATGTTTGTTAGACATCTGGAAATTATTTGGCAGCCTGTTTCCTCTCCATTAATCGACTTCCACAAGCATAGCGCGCGTTATGGCCCAGAGGGTAGCATAAAACACTCTCGCTGTTCGCTCCCGGGGCGGTGGGTCCCCTCGCCGTCGGCGGCCTGCGGGTCGGCCGCCTCCCCGCCGAGCCGGGCGAGCTGGGCCCGGAGCCCGGCCGCCGCGGCCTCGGCCTCCTTCGAGCAGGGGATCGGCCACAGCATCGCTCTGCGCCAAGGCTGATCTTCTCCTCCTCCTCCTCCTCCTCCTCCTCGGAGGAGGAGGAGGACAAGGAGCAGGAGCAGGAGGAGGAGGAGGAGGAGGAGGAGGAGGGGGAGGAGGAGGAGGAACAGGAAGAGGAAGAGTCGAGTCTTGCGTGGAATGCTCGCAGATCAACGAGCACCCTGCGCACGTCTCTCGTGAATTTGACGGGGAAGTCGACGTTGGGGTGAATCCCAGTTCTGTGGTCGATCCCCCCTCGACGCCTGGGCGCGCTGGATGGCGGCGGCCAGGCTGGCGGCCGCGCCCTCGTACCTGAGGCGAAGCCAGGACGAGGATATAAATTCGGGGTGGATGCAGTAGGAGGAGGAGGAGGGGGAGGAGGAGGAGCAGGAGGAGGAGGAGGAGGAGGAGGAGGAGGAGGAGGAGGAGGAAGAGGAGGAGGAGGAGGAGGAGGAGGAGGAGGAGGAAGAGGAGGGCGGGCGGGTTGAGACAATGGCGGCTCTCCCGCTCACAGCCGTGGCGACGAGAACCCTTCAGGGAGGCGGAGGACCGCCGCTATCTCGCAGAGGCGGACAAACGGCGCGGCCGGTACAGTGGAAACCAGTCCACAAGAGACCTTCCACAAGAAGCCCAACCCTGAGACCCCAGGACGCAGATGGATTTCTTGGTGTGGGAACGCCGCGCTCTCTATAGCAAAACCATCAACACCCAAGAAAACAAGGGCACGTTGGAGGCGAACAAGGGGTTTCTTGACATGGGCTTCCACTGTAAGACGGAGCCAAGACGAGGATCAATTCGGGGGTGGATAAATCGAGAACTTCTGAGATCCGTCGGCTCTGCAGGATGTATCGGGCGCTGCGGCCTTCTCAGAGCGTTCCAGAACGCTCTGGAACGGATTTTTCCACGTCCTGGCCCAGCCCGAGTACCTCTCGGGAGGGCGTAATAGGGCGACGACAGAAATACAGATCCGCTGCTTTCTGGCCAGGCCAATCCTGAGCCCAGCAGCGGCGTGTGCGGCACGCCCTCCTAGCTCGGCCAGGATGGCGTGCACGCGGCTCCCGGACCCGGGAAGGGCCCGGCCAGGGGGGCAGCGGATATTGTATGGACTTCGTCGCCCGGCGTAAGGATGGGGTGATGGGGCGCGCAGAGGCATAATTACTAGTACTATATGTCCACCTTGGAGGTGCGCGTCCGACCCGAACATATAGTATACCCATCTTGTAGTACATCGTTTCCCCAGCGGTGTGGCCAGAAAGTGCCACGACGCATGCACTATAACATTTCTCGGCGCGCGCGTCGCCCCTGGGGGGGCGACGCACATGCAGTGCAAGTTTTTTTTTTTTGGGGGGGGGGCTCAGGGGGGCCCCAGGGGGCTTCCACGGGGCGCCGGCGAAAAGCTATCGGAAGACGGCGGGCGCCTAAGGCGGCCGGCGGCGAGAAATCTACTACTGGACCATGCGGGGAGCAGCGGCGCACCTCAGAAGATGCACCTCAGAAGATGCACCGAGGGTAGCAGCGGCGATGACGACGAGCAGAGCCTTGATGAAAGGACCTCCAAACGCGGAACACGCCCATGACGGAGCGGCGGGCAATGGCGAGCAGAGCCTTGCAGGAAGGACCTCCGGCCACAAAGATGCCCACGGAGCGGCCGGCAATGACGAACTGAGCCTCGTGGAAGGACCTCCGAACGTGAACGTGCCGATGTAGGGGCGGCCGAGACTGACGAAATGAGCCTTGCAGAAAGGACCTCCGAACGAATGCCTGACCAGAGAAGAGCATGGTGAGTGCCAGAAGTCCTCGGGAGGACACATTTAGATTGTGTAGGTGACGCCGAAGTGCCCCGATAACTGAAAGCAGCCTGCGCATGGCCGGCGCCGCCGCCTCGGCGACGGGGCAGGGGCGCACGGGGGGCGCGATCAGCGGAGCTCGGGGCGGTCGCCAAAAAACATCATGCCGAGGCGCGTCAAGCAGACGAACCCGTGAATTCAGAGATGCCGCCGCGGGTACGCATTGCCTGCGCAGCCGCTGCGTGCGCCACCCCTCGTCGCAGCAGCAAGCGATCCCGTCGGTCCGTGCCCCTGCGCTGCAGGCGCTCCGCGCTGTGGTCTAGTCGTTCCAGAATGGTGCGGGCCTCCACCCCGTTCTCGTTCCATGTCCTGATCTTCGCCAACACGGCTAAGTATTCCGCGCTGTACTGCTGCTGCGAGCGCGAGGGGCCCGACGGGCCAGACGACGCAGAGGTGTAGCTCACGACGGCCTGCGCTCGGGGCCCGGCGCCGGGCCGGGCGACGGGCAGGGCGCTGGCCGATGCGCCGGGCTGGCAGCCGGGCAGGGCGCCGGCCTCCCAGCCGGGCAGAGCGCTGGGCTGGGCGCCGGCCGCGCAGCCGGGCAGGGCGCCGGGCTGCAGGCGTCCGCGGGGGCGCTGGGCTCGCAGCCGGGCAGCGCGCCGGGCAGCGTCGCTGGGCAGGCTGCCAGGCAGGGCGCCAGCCTCGCTGCAGGGCAGGGTGCCGGGCTGGGCGTCGGCTGGGGCGCCCGGCGTGCAGCCGTGCAAGGCGCCGGGCTGGTAGCCGGGTAGGGCGCTGGGCCGGTCGGCCGGGGCGCCGGGCTGGCACCTGGGCAGGGCGTCGGGCTGGGCGTCGCCAGAGGCGCTGGGTTGGCAGCCGGGCAGGGCGCCAGGCTGCGCGCCGGGCAGGGCGCCAGGCTGGGCGTCAGCGGGGGCGCCGGGCTCGCAGCCGGGCAGGGCTCCGAGCTGGGCGTCGGCTGGGGCGCCACGCTGCTGGTCGCCGGGCAGGGCGTCGCTGAGCAGGCAGGCAGGGCCGGCAGGGCGCCAGCCTCGCTGCAGGGCAGGGTGCTGGGCTGGGCGTCGGCTGGGGCGCCCGGCGTGCCACCGCGCAGGGCGCCGGGCTGGTAGCCGGGTAGGGCGCTGGGCCGGTCGGCCGGGGCGCCGGGCTGGCAGCCGGGCAGGGCGTCGGGCTGGGCGTCGCTGCAGGCGCTGGGTTGGCAGCCGGGCAGGGCGCCGGGCTGCGCGCCGGGCAGGGCGCCAGGCTGAGCGTCAGCGGGGGCGCCGTGCTCGCAGCCGGGCAGGGCGCCGAGCTGGGCTGGGGCGCCAGGCTGCTGGTAGCAGGGCAGGGCGCCGGGCTTGCAGCCGGGCTGGGCGTCGCTGGGCAGAAACCCAGGCAGGGCGCCAGCCACGCCGCAGGGCAGGGTGCTGGGCTGGGCGTCGGCCGGGGCGCCCGGCGAGCAGCCGTGCAGGGCGCCGGGCTGGTAGCCGGGCAGGGCGCTGGGCCGAGCGTCAGCCGGGGCGCCGGGCTGGCAGCCGGGCAGGGCGTCGGGCTGGGCGTCGCCGGGGGCGCCGTGATCCCAGCCTGGCAGGGCGCTGGGCTGGGTGTCGGCCGGGGCGCCTGGCTGCTGGTAGCTGGGCAGGGCGCCGGGCTCGCAGCCGGGCTGGACTCCGGGCGGCTGGCAGCCAGGCAGGGCGTCGGGCCGAGCGTCGGTCGGGGCGGCGGTCGTGCAGTGCCAGCGGGGCAGGGCGCCGGGCTGGCCGCTGGGCAGGGCGCTGGGCCGAACGTCGGCTGGGGCGCCTGGATGGCAGCTGGGCAGGGCGTCGGGCCGGGCTCCAGGCAGGGAGCCAGGCTGGGCGTCTGCGGGGGCGCCAGGTTCGCCGCAGCCGGGCGTCCCGGCCGACGCCTGGGCGGCCTCCGCGCCGAGCGGGGCGCCGAGCCGCAGGCGAAGGGGGAAGACTTCCAGGGATCCGCCCGGGGCGGCGAGGTACCTTTCCAGGAGGCCGATGGGAACCAGGGCGTCATGATACCAAGCTTGCAGCAAATCGCCCCCGCAAGGAGCGTGCTCCTGCCGTGTCTGCTCATGAGCATCATCATCACCAACATCATCCACGGCGAGGTCGAAGCTTCTGGGGTTGCCTATGCCAGCGGCGGCGAGCCCATCTCCTCGTCCAGGGCGTCCGGCTGTGAGGCCAGCTCCTCGTCCGGGGGGTCCCAGTTCGGCACGAAGTCCGGCTCGAAGTACAGATCCGCCTCCAGTGGCGTCGGGGGTCTCTCTGCGCCGCTTCGGGCCAACTTCGGCGCCGGGCACCAGCGTACCACGTCGTCCGCGTACACTGTCACCCGCGGGGCAGCCGAGGCGGAGGCCCTGTCGGTGACCGTCGCTGGGCAAGGCGTCGGATCGGCCAGCTGACCCAGAGCCGTACTCGAAGGCTGACTGGGTGCCGGGGAGGGCGCCTGGAAACGTTGCGCACGAATCTCCCGCTTCGTCTGTTCGATCTGTGCCGTGAGCAATTGGGCATGGAGTCGCGAGGCCTCAGCCTCCATTGCCGTCAGCATGCTGCTGGAGAGTCGCTTCGCGTGGAGCCTCACTCGTGCCCTCGCCTCCGCCAGCTGCAACTCCAGAAACGCGACGTTCGCCTGAGTCCCCGGAGTCGCCTCCTGAGTCCGGAGACGCACATACAGTATAAGTATGTTGGGGTGACGCCGAGGTGAGGGCAGTAGTGGGGTTCGAGGAAAGTCGTTCGAACTGTCCCCTGGGAGAGGGAGTTGCTAGCATCAGGTCGGGCATGTCTCCCTACAGGCGGATTCTGGTCGAAAGACGAAACATACGCAAACAATGCATCAAACTTGTCGACAAATACTAGAAAAATCGTCCCTAGACCTTATTTTGTGTTTTTGCTATTTTTTATGATTCCTCCTGTAGAGGGACAATCCCGACTTAACGCTAGCATCCAGCTGGGTTCATTATCTAACCCCACTTTGGGGTAACCCCACCCTCTACGAGCCCCCTGGCCCTCGGGTGCACGTTCTAACATCCGAGGACAAAACAAATCATCCTCACAGTAAGCACCCGCACACAAAAGGAGCCGCTTGGCAAGCGCACCCAGTAATGGAATCGAACAGGGCAGGGCTATTCAGCAAACGCGCAGGGCCGTGCAAGAAGCGCCATTATGGAGGTCGGGGTGGTTTTCTTTCCTTGGAACATGGGTCCGTGCATCTGGCGCGTGGGCGCCATATCTACGGAGGAGGAGGACGACGAGGAGGAAGAGGAGGAGGAGGAGGAAGAGGAGGAAGAGGAGAAGGAGGAGCATCGGCATCAGCAGCAGGAGGGAGATTCCTGGAGGGAAGGGGCTCCCGACGGCGAGTTGCATTAGGGGGTACTGAGCGCTGAGGAAGCAGCGGGCAGAGACGAGGGGGAGGGAGCGCACTTCGGGTGCACGCTCACACGGATAAGGAATGAAATGGTTCCGGCGCGTGGGCGCCACATCAAGGTGGCCCACGAGGCCCCCAAGACATCACCCAAAACGGCTCAAGAAAGAGACCCCTATGATGGCCCTTGGAGGCCGCAAAATGGGCCCCCAAGACGGCGGCCTCCGAAGGTGCCAAGCGACACAAGACCGCCCGACGACGGCACAAGACGCCCCGAAAACGCACCAACAGGCCCCAAGCAAGCCCCCAAGCAGCCCCAGTCCCCCAAGAGGCACCAAGCTCTCAAGAGAACCCAAACGCACGTATTCCGCATACGTGTTCTGGACGTGCACCCCGGGAAGCGAAGGGAATCCACGGATCGGGAAGTTCCCCCCCGAAACCTGCGGTCACTCCGCTCGATTCGGCGACGGAGCGCGCCGATGATGCACGGACACGACGCCCGTCGCCAATCCACATGTTTGCGACTCCTCGAGTACCGGGCGGTCTGGCCGGCCAGCTCCCCCATCAGCTCCGCCACCTGCCTGGAGAGCGCGAAGATTGCTACTTGCGAGGAAGCGCGACCCACCGTCGCTGGTCTGAACGAATTCCCGCATGGGGGCTCAGAAACCAGGGGGCCCCCCCTTAACCCCCGCAGCCCCGCCCCCCACCCCTCCCCCCGGGAAAAGTGGGGGGGTCTGGGACCCACTCCTCCCGGGAGCACTACGACGACGACGACGGCGACGACGACGATGACGACGGCGACGACGGCGACAACGACGACGACGGCGGCGGCGGCGGCGGCGGCGACGACGACGACGACGACGACGACGACGACGACGACGACAACGATACTCTGCTCAGCTCTGTTCCACTCTTTTCTATTTCTGCTCTACTCTACCCATCTACTCCTCTCTACTCTACTCTACTCTACTCTACTCGAATATGATCTACACATCCTTACTCTACTCTACCCTACCGTATCCCACCGTACTCTACTCGACTCTACTCTAAACTCTACTCTACTCCTTTGATACTCTAGTTAAATATACGCCTATTTTACTCTGCTCGTCGTCGTCGTCGTCGTCGTCGTCTCGTCGACGTCGGCGTCGTCGTAGTCATTGCCGTTGGCGTCGTGCATCGTGCATCGTGCATCGTGCTTCGCGCGTCGTGCGTCGTGCGTCGTCGTCGTCGTCGTGCGTCGTGCGTCGTGCGTCGTGCGTCGTGCGTCGTGCGTCGTGCGTCGTCGTCGTCGTCGTCGTCGTCGTCGTCGTCGTCATTGCGGGGGAGGGGGGTTCTCTGGACTCCCACCGACAATCTTCGTGGGGGGGGGGCTCACCTGGACCCCACCCCCACTGAGCTTCCCAGGGGAGGGGTCCCGGACCCCCTCACGAATTATTCCCCTGGGGAGAGGGGGAGGGAGGGGGGGGGGTTCTGGACCCCCTCCCTCAGTCCCCCATGTTTTGTTTTTGTTGCTGTTGGAGGGGAGGAGGCCTCGAGCACCTCCCCCCGTGCCAGCAGTGGCATGCAGCGCTCTTTGGCGTGCGTGCCCAGGCCTCCCCTGGCCGCGAAGGAAACGGCAAAAACCACAGCGGGAGAAACAACAGAAACAACAACACACTACTGGGTGGGTGAAACGCAGGGAGGCGGGGGAGAAGGGAGGAGGGGGAGGAGGAGAGGAGAGAGGAGGAACGAGGGGACCGTCTCTTCAAAACGAGGACCCAACACCACAGGATGGTTGGGAAAAAACACAGCGGGAGGAGCCCGTGCTCTTTCTCCTCCCGGGTCTAGCACGGGCGCGCTCGGGGCTGGAAGGGGGACCTCGCGCCGATGGCGTCACGGCGGGGGGGTGCGCTCTGGGAGCGCCGTCTGGGAACGGGTCGGAAACGCACGCAAGGCCAGCCAGCATCAGCATGTAAGCAGGGGCCTGCAGGAGGAGGAAGAGGAGGAGGAGGAGGAGGAGGAGGAAGAGGAGGTGGAGGAGGGGGAGGAGCAGGAAGAGGAAGAGGAGGAGGAGGAGGAGGAGGAGGAGGAGGAGAAAGAGGAAGAGGAGGAGGAGGAGGAGGAGGAGGAAGAAAAGGAAGAGGAGGAGGAGGAGGAGAAGGAGGAGCATGGGAATGAGTCGGCGCAGTGTAGTGGACTGCTGACAGTAGCAGCGAGCAGCGGACATGGCGCCCGCGACCACCAAGAAGCGCGTGCACACCACAGTGCGTGCGCACACCACAGGTCGTGACGCAGCTGCATATGTGCACCACAGCGCCTGCGCACTTCGCAGCGCACGTGTTCACCGCAGTACTTGTGGACATCACTGCGTACACAACTATGAATGCGCACACCACGGCGCCCTTGTACACGCAGCAGCTTGTGCGTGCACAACAGCGCCTGTGTACAACACGCTGCTTGTGCAACCGCAGCAGCCGCGTGCAACTCAGCGCCTGGTGCCTGCGTGCACCACAATGCCTGTGTACAACACAAGGCCTGTGTACACCTCCAAGGTCCCGACAGGGGTCCAAACTCTGGAGGATCGTGGTTGTCCGAACCTGACAGCCTTCATATAAAAGTTATCCCACCAGCTCCTCAGGGCCCGTTCCTCCCCTTCGGGGAGGTATTTACCCCTCCCCCTTCCCCCCCTCCATGGGTCTGGACGTGGGGGCGGCTGGTAGTCAGAGCGTCCAAGAGGGCATCGGCGAGAAGGCAAACATCAGCGATTCTGCATAGGCTTGGGCCCCATCTTGGCCTCGTGGGGGCGGGGTCGTGATTGAGGACTTCGTTGATCGATCGCCTCCAAGATGGCCCCAAGACGACCCGACATGCTCCCAAGAGAGCCCCCAGCGTACCCCAAGAGGCGCCCAAGAGGCCCCCCAAAGGCCCCAAGAGGCCTCCATGCGGCCCCCAAGCGGCCCCGGAGAGGCACCCAGAACGTCCCAAGAGGCTCCGAAGACCGTGAAGACGCCCCCAAAACGTCCCAAGAGACCTCCAAGAGGCCCCCAAGGGGCCAAAGGAGGCCCCGAAGAACCGCCAGGAGGCCCCCAGGATGCCCCAGAAAGTCTCCAAGAAGCCTCTGGCCCACGGAGACTCCCCGAGTTCTCCAAACCAAACGATGCCGCGCTCTCCCCGATAAGGGCAGCTCCCCTGCAACGCGACGCGTTAAGAACGTGTGATTCGAGTGGTCCCCATGAATTTTGGGCCCACAATGGCTGCGGGCACTACAGCGCCCGTGTACACCACAACGCCTGGCGCCTGCGACCACCATTACGCCTGGGTGCGCCACAACGCCTGTGTACATCCCCATGGCCCGGACGAGTCCCAACATCCGGGCCCGAGCCGATCGATTCCAATGTATGAAAGATCTGTGATCATTCATGTTGTTGGCCCGGAAAACTGTTCACCCTGTATTTTGGGCATTCGGTGCAGCGTGCACCACAACGCCTGTGTACAACACGCTGCTTGTGCAACCACGGCGGCCGTGCGCATCATAGCACCTGGCGCCTGCGACCACCACAGTGCATGTACACATCACATCACAAATCCAGTGTACACCACCAGGGCCTCGACGAGGCCCAGACCCTGCAAAATCATGATGAGTCCGAATGTGTCGAATTCATAATCTGGAATGTGTGTGATCATTGAATATGCTGGCCTGGAAGACGGTCCACAGTGCATTTAGGGCCCGCGGTGTACGCTGCTTGTCCAACCACGGCAGCCGTGTGCACCAAAGCGCCTGAGTTTGATGCCTGTGTGCACCACAATGCATGTGTACACCCCTGGGCTACGACGAAGCCCAAACTTTTTAAAATCGTGGTGGATCAGAAGCGATTGAATTCAATATGTACACTGTGCGTAATCATCGAAACCAGAAAATCCGAGCCCAGAAACTCCACCACCGTGCCGCGAGGCGCGACGTGGAGTTTTCTCCAGGTCCTCATGCGTCCTCTGTTCTCTGTGCTCAGGACTCTAGGACTATAGTATTCTAGGGACTGGGGCCCCAGAATCTTGAAGTTCGTGCGCGTTTCTGCGCGCTTTTGGGCGGCCCTGCATGAATTTTCCAGATGCCAGCAGGCCCCGAGATGGACCAGGAGGGCCTCAGAAAACGCCCAAGAGGGTCCAAGAGGCCTCCAAGATAGCCCAAGAGCGCTCCAAGATGCCCAAGATGGCACCAAGAAGGCCCAAGAGGTCCCAAAGAAGCCCCAAGAGCGCTCCAAGAGGACCCCCAAGAGGGCCCAAAGAGGCACACATCATTGATTGTCCTTGTGTTTTTCAATGTTGCTCGCGTTCTCGCGTTTTCGGGTTTCCGACGCTTAGATGGCCCCAGAGGCCCCCAAGACCGCCCCAAGACGGCCCATCAGGCCCCCAAGAGGGCCCCAACATGGTCCAAGAGGGCCCCAAAACGACCCAAGAGGCGCCCAAGAAGGGCCCAAGAGCCTTCCGCTCCAAGATTCCCAGAATGCCCCACGAGGCCCCCTAAGAGCCCCCCCAGAGGCCCCACGAGGCCCCCAAGAGGCCCAAGACGATGCCCAGGAGGTCTCCCAACGGCCCCCAAGGGCAGACGACAGCTGCATCGAATCGAAACATCGAATCGAATCGGAACCAGCATCGAATCGGAGCGCATCGGGCGGCCATCGGATCGACATCGAATCGGAATGCCTGGGCGCTGCATCGAATCGATTCGAAATCGAAATATAATCGGTTGCAAGTCGGTAGCGCAAGCCGAATCGAAATCGAATCGGAATCTGCTAGCCCCAACCGTGCCCACGCCCCGCGCCTGGCCTAGCTTGCGCCTACCTCCGGCCTAGCCTAGCTTGTGCCTAGCACATCCTAGCCCGAACCGAGCATACGCCGATTTTTCTGTGTTTTACCTATTAATTCTGCTGCCCCTCTGGAGCGCCTCTGGGCCACCCGAAAACGCATTTTTCGAGGCCTGAAAAATTGCTTTTCTCTCCTCGGGGCCTTCGACGCCTCCGGGGAGCCTCCGGAGCTCCCAGGAGCCGAAAACTGATTTTTCGAGGCCTGAAACATTGTTTTTCCCTCTCCGGGGCCTTCGGCGCCTCCGGGGAGCTTCCGGAGCTCCCGGGAGCCGAAAACGCATTTTTCGAGGCCGGAACAATTGTTTTTCTCTCCCTGGGGCATTCGGCGGCTCCGGGGAGCCTCTGAAGCTTCCAGGAGCCGAAAACGCATTTTTCGAGGCCTGAAAAATTGTTTTTCTCTCCCCGGGGCCTCCGGCGCCTCCGGGGAGCCTCTGGAGCTCCCGGGAGCCGAAAACGCATTTTTCGAGGCCTGAAAAATAGTTTTTCTCTCCCCGGGGCCTCCGGCGCCTCCGGGGAGCCTCTGGAGCTCGCGCCTCCAGGGAGCCTCCAACAACGCGCCACTGCGCACATCCGGCCAATCAGTCAACCAACCTCCTTGCTCCTGCTTCTGCTGCTCCTCCTCCTCCTGCTCCTCCTCCTCCTGATCCTCCTCCTCCTCCTCCTCCTCCTCCTCCTCCTCCTCCTCCTCCTCCTCTTCCTCCTTTTCAACGGGAAAAGCCAAGCGGCGTCGGATCGGCGCGAATCCGTGGGCAGCGAAGCCGAACTGGAAACCGGCGGATTCGATCCCCTGGGCCGGCACGAGGCGCCAGCGAGGCGCCCGCGGCGAAACCGAATCAACCGAAGTAACCGAAGAGGGCGCGACGACGCAAGGACTCCGCAACAACCGAACCGACCGAACCGATCGATTCTGACCGACACCGACGCAACCGAACCGACCGGTTCGCGGCCGTCCATGTGGATTATGCCAAAGTCAGAGGAGGGGAGCATGAGGGGAGCCCGGGGGGGGCGGCGCATCGAATCGAAATCGAATCGGATCGAGATCGAATCGAAATCGAATCGGTTTCAACCTGCGCCGAGTCGAATCGACATCGAATCGGAATTGGGCGCGCCCGCATTGGATCGAATCGATCGAATCGGAATGATTCCAGAAGGGGCCTCAACACTGCCTCCAAGAGGCCCCCGAGAGGCCTTCCACGATACCCGAACGAACCTCCGAGAGGTCTCCAACCCACAACCTTTGGCACGGTGGCTCGATTCCCCGCTTCCTGTTCTCGTGCCACAAGGATGCCCGGCGTGCTAGATCCTACGGTTAAGTCGGGCGTGTCCCTCTACAGGAGGAAAATTCAAAAATAGTAAAGATATAGTCTTGGGACGATTTTAAAACTATGTTTGAACAGTTGTTCCATATTGTTTGACTAGCTGTAACTTCTCGTCCAAAATTTAATCCTACTGGCCCGGTTTTCCCTAATTAGGGGGACAGGCCCGACCTAATCCTACTGGCTTGGTTGTTTGGGGGCGGTCAAGAGGGGGGCGTCCAAGAGGAGGGGGGCGCAAATCATGGCCAGCGGCATGTGCGCGGCCCAAAAAGGGGGGCCGGGGACGTATCGAAATTAGAAGAGGCGCCATGAAATCTGGGGAGATATTATGGCCCCCGCCATGAGATCCACCCGCCCCTTAGTCATCACCCCCCTCTTGGCCGCCCCTGACAAAAAAACATTCCCCTGGGGCTTCTGCCTGACGTTTTAAGTTTCTGGCCTGGGTCACTGTCCCCCCTGTAATTTGGTCCCTCAATGCCTGCATGCATTACAACGCCTGTGTACAACACGATACCTGTGCAATCGTCGCAACCGTGTGCACCACAACGCCTGGCGCCTGCGACCATCACAGCGTCCGTGCACACCACAAAGCCTGTGTAATTACACCCACTGGACCCCACGGTGTCCAAACTCCTGAAAATCGTGATGAATCCGAGTCTATCAACTTCAGCATGTACGTGTGTTATTTGTGATAATTGATTTTTCTGGCCTGGGACACGGTCATTCTCCCCCTGCACTTTGGGCTCGCAGTGCCTGCGTACACCACAGCCACTGTGAATTCCACAGCGCTTTTGTACTAACAAAAAGCCAGTGTACACAGCAATGCATGTATACACCACAGCGCTGGCAGCTACGAGCGCCGCGCTACGACCACCTCACCAGTGCCTCGGAGCGACAGAGAAACACTGGGTCCCTGAGAGCACCGCAAGCGCATGCGCGCCGCATTATTTCGCGAATGCCACCGCATGCCTGTGAACACAAGTATATAGACTGCAAGCGCTACAAGACGAACGCGGTCGCCGGAGGACGACCGCCGTGACATGATCTGGGCTGGTTGGGGGGGGGCGGGGCCGACCACGCCCGTCATCGCCCAAACGGGGAAAAGACAAACTCGATGCTGTTTTGCTATCTTCGGCCTCTGAGGGCACTCGCTGGTGGACGCCTTGACCGTCAAAAAAGGCTCAGAATCAAAAGGCAATCCCAGGAAACTGGTCGGGACTTTCGGGTACCACGAGCTCCTTAATAAGCGCCGGAGGGGCGTCACCACCGCCGACAGCCCCACATCGACCCCCGTCGCGGGCAGCCACCGCGCGCCGAAGGCGCTCCGACCCCCGTTGCGGCGCGACGACGAGGCGAGGTTGACCCCCGGCGGGGGGTACCCCCCCACGCTTATCAAGAAACCCAGGGGACCCCGTGTGGAAACATCGGAACGTCGCATGCGCGGAAACACACCCGCCGCCCCTGGCCAGGACTGTGTGCTGGGCGCACGGGTGGGCCTGCCCAGGGGCGGTGGGTGTGCACCCAGACCTCCGACGTCTTGACTTTCCCAGCACGGCGGGCTCGCGTCGTGACACCCTGCGCGTTGGCTCCTGACACCACGTGGATTGTTCAACCTTGAACGGCCGGCGGCCCTCCGATCGCCGGATCGTTTCATATTGGCCGATTCTGGGCCACTGGCGACGCTCAGCCTTGAACTAGGGGGCCACATGCGAACCCTACCCCTGCCCCCCACCACTGCGGAGAGGGAGGGAGGGGTTCACTTCGCTCGGGAGCTCTCGAACGAAAAGAACCCCACCCTCCCCCTCAGAAATCGTGGGGGGTAGGGGTAGGGTTCGCATGTGGCCCCCTATGAGCGCTCCCAGCGGGGTCGCGGCGAGTCGACACGACGCAAACCTGCCGTACGTTGTCCCCGGACCCCTTCCCCGGGACCGGACTACTTCCCAGGGACCGGTTTCTCGTCCAGGCTCGCTTTCTGACGGCCTTGCGAAGGCCCCCGGGATGCCGAAAACGACGAGGAGCGCCCCCTGTCAGGAATTGTTCAACACGCTGGCCCGAATGCCAGGTGAAGGAGGAGCAGGAGGAGGAGGAGGAGGAGGAACAGGAGGAGGAGGAGGAGGAGGAGGATCAGGAGGAGGAGGAGGAACAGGAGGAGGAGGAGGAGCAGGAGGAGCAGGAGGAGCAGGAGGAGGAGGAGGAGGAGGAGCAGGAGGAGGAGGAGAGGAGGAGGAGAGGAGGAAGAGAACACTCCACCACTCCTGCCCCCTGGGGTGTGACTCTCGTCCCCCGGCTGCCTCGACTTCTGAGTCATCTCCGTGCTCGTGGCAGCGGCCTGGGCGCGTTCCTCCAGCTCCGCGACCCGCCTCTGCGCTGCGCCCAGGGCGCTCGCGTGCTCCCGGGCCATCGCGTCCCGCTCCTGCAAAGGGAGAGCTCAAACTTTGCCGTCGTTCGGACGTCCTTTTGGTAGGTGGGTCTCTCAAGCTCTCCGCCGCCTCTGGCGGTGTGCGTTGCGAGCAGGAACGCAGCAACGCAACAGGAAAGTGCGGCATTGACAGCGTAGCTCCGCACACGTGACAAATGCTAACGAGCAGGAACACAGCACAGCCCCAGGATAGCGAGGCATTGACAGTGTAGCCCCGTGCACTTTTCGATATCGTGCCTGTCTTGTTTCGCAAGATGGTCCAGGATGCTCCTCGATGGTCAGCGCTGCGAACAACTTCGCCCGTCCGAGCGATGCCGAGGAAATCGCTGCACAGGCTAGGTCGCGAAACTTCGCGAACCAGGGCCCGCGGTGCGCGCTTTGCGCGGCCAGTGCCCTCGCGCCGCCGCCCTGGAGAAGAACGCCTCCCCCAACCCAGGCCGCGCCGCGCGGAGAGCGACCTTCTTCGCGCCCCTGGCGGTGCCCTCCACGAGCATCAACCCTCGGAGCTCCTCGCGGGGCTCCAAAAGCCTTCTGCCTGCTTGTGCGCTTGCGCTTGCTTCGCTCCTCAAGCAGCTGCTGGAGCTGCTGGCCCCTCTCGCGCTCGGCGGACCGCCTGGCCTCCTCCAGCGCCCCGAGCTCCCTGGCGTGCGCGTCGGCCTGTCCCGGGTGAATGACTACCTACCAGACCACCCCAACCCAAACCCGAAGACCCGTGTGTTTTTTTTGGCGGGCGTGGTCTCGCAAGCCCGGCTGGGCCAGCACACTTTGCTCGCCACTTCAAGAAAGAAACACTCTCTCTCTCTCTCTCTTTCTCTCTTTCGCTCTCTGTCTCTGTCTC